TAAAATTCAAGATTTTAGTTACCATTAAGGGTTGGCATGATGTATTATGAAGGTTTATTTATTTATTTATTTATTTATTTTTTTGAAAACGAAGGTCTCTTCTTTAATAAACAATCAAAGTGTGATTAAAACTTTAAATAAAATTAAATGTGCACTGCACGCTTTTGGTCTTTCAATTCAACTTTGCTTTGCTTTCTTATTGTGAGAGAATGGTTATGGCAAAAGTTTGAAGGCTCCCCTCCCAATTTATATTTCATTAATTTAATTAATTAATTACTAGAGATCTAGGCTCCAACAAATGGAGAAATTCTTATTCATTCATACACTATGACTAAAATAATTAGTTTGTGAACTTTCAAAGGAATTTTATGATAATTTACGAAATTATATTTTGTATTTGGTAAAGTTGTTGCTGTCTTTACTTTAATTTTCTTGTTTTTCTTTATACTTTCCATTTATCTAGTTTTTTTTTTTTTTTTTTTTTTTTTTTTTTTTTTTTTTTTTAATCTCTGTTATTCAAATTAGAAAAAAGAAAAAAAGAAAAAAAAGTGTTAAATCTTCTAAATATAACGAATAGTGCAATTAAGTCTCCTAATTGAAACAATCTCAAATGAGACTTCCTAAATTGACAAAATATTATAATTAGGTCATATTATTAGCTATCATGCTAGTTATTGCTGAAATACAGAGCGCTAACTTGGCTAACCCTAGTGTTTTAATACTGAAGTGGATGGATGTTGAGTGTACTATTTATTATTTTATTTTTACTTTTAACTTATTTCTTATTTTTAAATAATAATAATAATAATAATAATTTATTTATTTATTTTATCTATGAATTACAAGAAACAAAAAAGAATAGCCACTAACTTGAAATGACTAGTTGCTATCTTCTATTGACATACATCGATGGGAAACTCGTTAATCTGAACTAGACAACCATGACTGTCTTGAATGAAGGGCTGAAGAAAACAAATGAGGCTTAACCGCCTTCGTTCTAGATCTGGACAGACAACCCTAGGCGGGTAAGGTTAGTGGATAACTGTGCGGCTATTCATCAACAGAAGTCTGTTACCGACCAATGGCTATTTTTTAATTCAAAAATAAAAAAATGTTAATAAAAATAAATAAAATAATAAATAGAACACTCATCATCCACCTAAGTATTAAAATATCATGTGTTAGCCTAGTTAGCGTTACTTCAGTCGCAACCTATTGAAAGAATAATAGTAATAGAGTCAACTGGTCATAGAGGTGAAAGTTGAAAAGAATGACCAGGGATCGAGTCTCACCAGTTGCAGTGTGGGAGCAACCTCTCAAAGTGAGGATGGTTCCTTGTGCGCAGTGAGCAAAGGTCTAGCCTCTGCGGTTTATGTTCAATTGAGTTACCATGATTTACATCCTCCCAAATGTTCTGTCGGGCCCTTAGGGTTGGGGTTTAACCTTTTAAAAAGAATAATAGTAATAGAACTTAGTTGCAATATTTGACACTTTAAGGGGCCTTATTGGAGGTTCATCAACTAATTAATTAAGGAATCTAATTATACTATTCATCATACTTATGAGGCCAATTTGACACTTTATTTATTAGAAAAATAAACAAGTGAACATATATATTCTTTATTAGTTTCTTTCTTCTTTTCTTTTTTTTTTTCCAATTTTCTATTTCTTAAAAAAAAAAAAAAAAAAAAAAGGAGAGAACTTTAGTCGTTAATAAGCACACCCACATATCTTACTTTGATTGGAATGGTAAGATGAGGCAATAAACTTTCACCAATGATCAAGTAAAATCACAAAATGGAGTCATAAAACATTATATTGTAGCAGAATTTTCCAAATCATTTAAAGGCTATGTATTGGGGTATTCACTTGCAAAATGGAAATCACCTTTAGTGTTGTACCTGAACTTTGGGACATGTACTTTGAATTGAATTGTGTGTGTGCGCGTGTGAAACAAATCTTAGGTTGGGATTAAAATTTTGAACATGTTGAGAAGGAGAACAATTTAAATGGCAACAATAATCAAAAGAATCAATCAATTAGCAGGAACAAGTAAAAGTTCATATTGCCATTTGCTACAAGCAATTTGGGACCTCTTACATTGTGATTGACAATTAACTATTCGACATATTTATAGCAATCACATCTGTGATTTTTTTTATTACTATTTTTTTTATTTTTTCAAATCTAAAAACCAAAGCCTAGTTTGAAAATTAATAGGAGATTGGGGTTTTTGATGTTCTACTTTTGTAGGGCTCACTCCTGCTGAAATGAAAACAAAGGTCTCAGCCTTTCTTTGCGTGCTGGAGACGCAGGCGCCCAGCCAAGCGCGTGCAGTGCACGCGCTCGCTAGCGCGTCAGACCTGCTATTTTTTTTTTTTTTTTTTTTTTAACGTCAGACATCCTCTTTTTTTTTTTTTTTTTTTTTTTTTTTTTTTTTTTTTTTAAGTTTTCATATTCTCCCTCCCTCCTTGCTCTCCTAGTGGTATCTTAAAAATTGTGTAAAGATCAAAGCCGAGGGGGTTGCTCTCATAGAGATATTAATGCCCTTGACAAGAATCGGTTGATTACACATCATGATAATTTAATTTGTACTATGACTTTCACCTATTTGTACCCCCTCCTAAGGGTTTTCACCCTATATATTTAACACTAGAATCTTATAGATGTTAGTCAGCTTAGGCATTCACGAGTCGTCCAATCAATCCTTGATCAATTTCTACTTATGTGCACAAGAAGTCTTCGTCATATCTAATCACTTTTTTGGACTTATGTCTTCCGTGAGAATCAAACCACCACCTTACCACTGTAACAAGACTTCCTGGGTGACTCTGAATCATTGAGTTAATTACGCCCTGCAGGACAAAGACATTAGCATTCTTTATCTTCCTTCGAAAAACCAATAAAAGAGTTATTAGGTAAAACATATTCTTTTTTCTTAGACTACATAATTATTTTTCTTATAACACTAAAACCCCACCATAAACATATGAAAACATAAAACCATGTGCAGGTATTAACTATATGCTTATCCTATTGTAAACCAACAAAATAGAAATCCTGAGAATGTGGGCATGTACATGGGCGTGCACACAAAATCCCCTCAAAAAGAAGAAAACTAAGGAAGAATGATCCTATGGTTTGTAGTTTCATATGAAATGGGGATTGTGAAAAAACAACAAAAGAATGATCAAATGGTGTAATGATCAAATGAAAACACAACACAACATCTGCATAGCTAATTTACAACAGGTAACATTCTACATTTGTTTATTGTCTACATGCCAAAAGCAAAAGATAGACATCCATGATGAGTGCCAGCATCTGGGCATCCTCAGTGGGACCCAACCCTAGCTTTGGGTGTGGCCCACTTTTTTTTTTTTTTTTTTTTTTTTTTTTTTTTTTTTTGTGGGGTGGGCCACCGGCCACCCACCCACCCCCTCCACTTGATTCCCTAGCAGTAGGAGTACAGAGTGGAGCTTGCCAGGATTGCCAAAGCAAAAAAGGCATTTTGGATCCAAAGCCAATTCTCCCTGTCAAAAAAGAAAAAGAATGAAGAAAATTTTAAAAAAAGTTGTGAAAGTTGAAAGAGAAAAAAAAAAAAAAAAAAAAAGAGAGAAGTTTCTTGCCCACTAAAGTATTTTAAACTCAGGCTCCTAACAGATTATTTCTCATTTGACAATTCATTTTTTTAATGAAAAAAATTGGATGGAATTTTTTGTTTTTTCATAAACAATATTAAGTGCATATAGGCAATCACGTCTTTGAAAGAGCTGTTTTAAAAATAAAAAGCCTATGATATCATATAACACAATATTTTAATTTGATTATAATGAATTAAAAGTGTTCATGTTGCTAATTTAATACTCTACTATTTTATGTGTCCATTTTAATTAATAAGGGTTAACTCGTATTTTGTTTTGTTTTGTTTTTTTAAAGACTCAATTCTTTACAAGGTAGTATATGTTATATATATATATATATATATATATATATATATATATATATATATATATATTTTCAATCTAAATTTACGTTGTTTGCAATTTAAATTTTTTTGTTATATTTAGTTTACTGCTAATATATACATGTTATACTTTAGCAGCTACATAAATACTACTATTAAACAAAAAAAAATTATATCACAATGTTCGAGACGCTGAGTGGGTGTTAGATTTGGTCTTTACGGGTCTCCACGGCCCACGCAACAATTCTCCCCTTGAACCCTATGACCTGGCTCTAATACCACTTACTAGAATCAAGCATTTATCACTTAAGTCAAAAACTATAGCTAATAGCGAAGACGTAACTTTATTTCCTTATAGACCGTTATCATCACATTGTTCGAGACGTTGGGTGCTAGTCTTGACCTTTATGCCCTTTACTGATCTTTCCCTAACAACCCTCCAATCACCGAATGGCAGGTGGTAGACTTGACCTTTACCGACCTTCGCCTAACAGTTAGTTTATCAAATGAATAGTAAATAAAATAGGTAAAATGGGACAATGGGATTAAAAAAAAAATTATCTCATTCATAGTTAACTATATATGTTCCAAACAAAGACACAAGCTACTTTTCCTACCCATCTTTTAGCATCCAAAGTTTCGTTCACTTGTTTTTATACTCACTGCAGTTTTTCCTTAGAAATAGGATATTTGCATTTTTATTCTCACTCTAAGTTGTCTAAAATATAGCTCAAATATAAATTTTTTTGAAACAAATATAATTTAAAATTTTAATAAGTTATTCTTTGTAAAATAGATTTTTTTTTCCTTTTTATCTGGTTGCCAATAATGACTTAGCCAACTTTTATTTTATTTTATTTTATAATTTAATTAATTATTTTGTGAATATCTCCCCCACAGCCCACAGGGCATAGCATTCTTTTCTAATGATTCAAGTCTACTTTGCCTTTCCCCTGTTCAAACCGCCCATTTCTTCAAGCTCCAAAACCATAAACATCAACACACAATCTCTCTCTCTCTCTCTCTCTCTCTCTCTCTCTCTCTCTCTAAATCTCTCTCTCTCTCTCTCTCAACATTTTCTTCCATTGATTCTTCTACCTTCCTTCCTTCCTCAATCCCCATCCGCTCCCTCAAAGCCCCACTGCAATCTCACCGCTCTCTGTGTTTTCAAGAAACAGAGCATCATCAACAATGGCGGCCAACAAGTTTGCGACCATGTTACACAGGAATACTAACAAGATCACCATGATTCTCATCTACGCAGTCTTGGAGTGGACTCTCATATGCCTGCTCCTTCTCAATTCCCTCTTTTCCTACTTGATCGTCAAGTTCGCCGACTATTTCGGGCTCAAGCCGCCCTGTTTCTGGTGCTGCAGGGCGGAGAAGAAGAAATTCCTGTGCGAATCCCATTCCAGAGAGGTTTCCAGATTGGGGTTCTGCGAGACCCACTGTAGATTGGTTGAATCTAAGGCCATGTGTGGGGACTGCTCTGAATCTATGGAGGATTTTCATGGCTTCTCCCACGGTTTCAGGCTGCTTCCATGGATGAAAGAAGTGGGGAATGGGGAAAAGTGTTCTTGCTGTGGTGTGGGTTTGGAAGGCACCACTTTTGGGTCTCCTTATATTGTCATCAAATCTTCATGGGATCAGTTGATCAAAGGGGCAGAGGTTGAGGTTGAGGCAGATCATGGGGAGAAGGGTGAGAATTCTGAGGAAAAATGGTCGGATTTTGAGGTTTCCAGGTTTGGGAATGAGAATTTTGATGAGAAAGAAGAGAAAGAAGAAGATTTGGTTCTTGAAAATGCAGTTTTGGAGGATAATTCAGAGAGGGTAATGAAAGATCAGGGAATTCAAGTTGATTTGTCACTGGAAACTCTCCCTAAACATCTTGAATTCTTCATAGATTGCAGTGGGAATGGGCTGGTTCCCATTGAACTTATAGATTCCATGGCTGAAGAAGATCAAAGCAGACACCAATTTGAGGAAACAAATTTGGATGAAAAAACTGGGGAGGAACCCAAATTTGCAGTGCTTGAGTCTATGGAGATTGAAGAAGATGAAAATTCTTTGGTTTTTTATGCCAAGGATTGCTTCTCAGAAACACAAGGTTTTGCACAATTTTCCATATCTGATAATGAAGTTCAAATCTTGGGTTCAGAAGAACAGCAAGATAAAGGTACAAAATTTCATCATTTTTTTCCCAGTTTTGCATCCTTGGATTCTTACCCAGTGTATGTTTATAATTCTTTTCCTATGTCTGTAGTTTCTGAAGAATATTCTCAAATGCAAATAAACGAAACCGAAGCAGAAGCAGAAGCAGACGTCTCGATTGGGACCGAGATTCCTGATTTGGATATTGCAGATGATCTCCATTGCTCCAATGAAGACCCTTCCACTAGTTCCACAAATTTCATTGAACTTGAAGATCATGGTAAGCTTCAGATTTTTTATTTTTCTCAAGATTCTGTAACCAATTAGTATCTTTGTTGTTTGTAACAATGTGAGTGTCCTATCCTATGTCTTAGGTTGTAAACAAGATCAAGAACAAACTATAGAGTTAAGAGCTTTGTCTGTCGATTTGAATGAGAATGCGATGAGCTTAAACGAGCCCGAGGAAGAAAAAGTCCCCGATACCCCGAGTTCTGTAGATAGTCTCCACCGCTTGCATAGGAAACTTCTACTTCTCGAGAAGAAGGATTCTGCAAGCGAGGAGTCATTGGATGGGAGTGTGATAGGTGATTTAGACGGTTTGGATCCCGTTTCGAGCATCGAGCGATTGAAAACGGCGCTGAAATCCGAAAGGAAGGCGCTGCACGCTCTCTACACCGAGCTGGAAGAGGAGAGGAGTGCTTCTGCAGTGGCAGCTAATCAGACGATGGCTATGATAAACCGGCTTCAAGAAGAGAAGGCCTCAATGCAGATGGAGGCTCTTCAGTATCAGAGGATGATGGACGAGCAATCGGAGTACGACCAAGAGGCGTTGCAGCTGCTAAACGAGCTTATGGTGAAGCGGGAGAAGGAGAGGCAAGAGCTCGAGAAAGAATTGGAGGTGTATAGGAAAAGGGTGTTGGAGTTCGAGGCTAAAGAGAGGGTTGCAGTGTTGAAGAGAAGCAAAGATAACGGGAGTGCTCGGAGTGCGTTTTCCTCGGCGTCTTGTAGCAATGGCGAGGAGGATAGTGATGGGTTGTCGATCGATCTTAATCAAGAAGCCAAAGATGAGAGCTTTTATGCACATCAAGAATCCTCCACGCCTGCTGACGATGTTCTTAATTTGGAGGATTCTTTGGCTGATTTCGAGGGCGAGAGGATGGCGATTCTTGAACAGCTCAAAGTCTTGGAGGAAAAGCTAATCACCATGGATTATGAGGATTCGAAAGGCGAGATCAATGGCCATTCCAATGGTTATGCTAAAGAAATGAATGGCAAACACCAAATCTTGAGTTCAATGGGGAAGAGTCTTCTCCCTCTCTTCGACGATGCCCTTAGTGACGACGAAAATGGAGACGTTGCACCACACGAGAACGGGTTCTACTCCAATGGTGTCGTGCACGATTCAGACATCACGACGGGAGATTATGACGATTTGCAAAACAACAACAAGAGGGTTGCTGTCGAAGAGGAATTGGATTGCCTACACGAAAGGCTACAAGCCCTAGAGGCCGATAGGGAGTTCCTAAAGCATTGCATTAGCTCGTTGAAGAAAGGCGATAAGGGCATGGACCTCCTCCAAGAGATTCTTCAACACCTTCGTGACCTAAGAAACGTAGACCTTCGAGTGAGAAACTTAAGCGACGGTTGCCTAGTATGACACCCTTCGACCTTCGTTCAACTATCTCATCAAGACGATTATTATACTGGTAAAATTCTACGCCTTTAACCGGCTAGTTTTCGTGTTATTTAGCTGTTCTAAACCCCATTTTTCTCAACTTTCAGACTATAATGGAAAGTCCAATGATGAAACATTGTAACATTCTGCATATACCAAAGGACATGAAGGGAGAATGGGGCTCCTAGATGTGAAAAGTCCTTTTAGTCCTCTTGGCAGACAACAAACTAAGGTCTTGCCAAACTTTTGTTTTTCTCATGCTTTTGATGGTCATTTGTTGTCAAAAAAAAAAAAAAAGGTTTTAAAACCCAATTATTATTTTTTTCTTTGTTGGGGGTTGGGTCCATCACCCCTCCTTTTGAGGATAAAAGGAGAATGATGAATGGTATGTGTGTTGTAGTGTAGTGAGGGTGAATCCACCCTGTCTCTTTTGTATTTGTGAGAGTAAATTAGGTCTTAGAATTAGTCTTTTGTTTTTGTTTTTTTAAGGTTTTAAAAATTTTGAAGGTGGGAGGGTTAGGACAAGAAAGGGGGTAAGCAACTTCCTTTTTCCTCTCCCTATTTTCCGGTCTGGGGCGGTTACAAAGGTTATCAGGAAAAGCCAGAGTCGAACGAACGAACTTCAGATCTTATCGCTCTCTCGGCTTTTTCTATGTCACATTTTGCATCATTTCATCTTATGATGTCTGTTTATTATTACTTTTGGTACAAGGCCAAGCTGTTCATGAGTTGTATACTATAGTACTACATTGTATCCTTTTGTATATATAAAGTTGAGTGTTTTGGTTATATATAGCAGTCCTGGTTTTTTTGGAGTCTTTTGAGTTTTGGTCATTATATTATTTTATTTTATTTTATTTTTTTGTTATAAAGTGTAGATTAAACAAGGAAAAGAGTGCTTTCAGAATGGATTTTATTTGCTTTAGCTTTAAGCATAAATATTGTTTTGGTGTTTGGTAGGTGAGAACTAGCACAACCACAAAATGTAGGCTTCCATTCAATCAAGAAAAATGGAATTATAGAATATTTACAATTTATTTTTTTCATTTTTTTTTTTTTTTTTTGCATTTTTGCAATTTCAAATCACCCCTCAAAATATAATATAGTAGTAACAACATCAATGTCATTTAGCTTTATTTAAATTATAAAAAAAAAAAAAAAAACACGCCACAAATATTGATCTAGTGAATGTGAATTTTCACTTAAAAAAAACTTGCTTTCAGCAAGGTAGATGTTTGATTCGGCAAATTGTACTATGTACCATGGTCCACATTGCAATGTGGATCATAGATAAATATTCATTTTTTTTTAGTATACTTAATGTTAATTTTTAATTTTGTGTATTGGAATTTGTTTTTTTGGTAGTATACCTAAAAATCGACATTTAGTATATAAAAAATGAATATTAAAATTAGCATTCAATATATTAAAATTGAACCTTAATTATATCAATGGTCAATCTTGTCGCAAATTATGCCGTGGAATCGTGTTCACCGAGAATGGTGAACACAAGTCAAAACGACGTCGTTTTTAGGCAAAAAAAAATAAAATTCGCGGATGTGGAGTTAACGGCGCGTTACTGATCAAATTATGAATTTTCTGTTATGAGATTATGAATTTTCATAAAATTCATAGAAAATTCTTAATCGCATAACAGAAAATTCATAATCGCATAACAGAAAATTCATAATCTCACAACTGAAAATTCATAATCTCATAACAGAAAATTCATAATCTTATAACAGAAAATTCATAATCTCATGGTTCCAAAGTGAATGTGTAGGCATGGTTCCAAAGTGAATGTGCAGGCATAGATTCATAATTTATGAATGTCCGTGATTTCGGACGGGAATATGTAGGCATGGTTCCAAAGTGAATGTGCATGCATGAATTCATAATTTATGAATGTCCGAAATTATGAATGTAATGAAAATTCATAATCTCATAACAGAAAATTCATAATCGCATAACAGAAAATTCATAATCTCATAATTGAAAATTCATAATCTCATAACAGAAAATTCATAATCTTATAACAGAAAATTCATAATCCCATGGTTCCAAAGTGAATGTGTAGGCATGGTTCCAAAGTGAATATGTAGGCAATCACGTAATTAAAAAAAAAAAAAAAAAAAAAAAAAAAAAAAAAAAAAAAAAGATAACGGTGTACTAACACCGTTGGAACCGTGTTCACCATGAATGGTGAACACGGTTCCATGGCATAACGTCTGCAATCTTGCAAGGTGGACTGTAGTCAATAGTATAATATTTGGTTCGATTCTTGCCACGAATATTGAGAGTTCCAATTGGAATTTGCGTTGACCTTCTTGTGTGCAGAAATGTACAGTTTAATGTTGAGCCTTGAAGCTAAATTGACTTGACCTACTTCTTTAAGAGTCTAGACTAGGGGTGGGAATAGGCCAAACCCCTTGTAGGGGCCTATGTCCAGGCCTAATTAAAGCCTAGTTAGGCCTAGCTCGTTTAGTAAAAAGGTCAGGCTTGAGCCAATTTCAAAGCCTATTAAACTAAACAGGCCAGGCCTATATATACCAGGCTCGGCCTTCAGACCTACAGGCCTGGCCTATATATATATATATATATATATATATATATATATATATATATATATATATATATATATATATATATATATATATATATATATATATATATTTATTTATTTATTTATTTATTAGAATATAACCCCAAGTATATATAATTACCAAACCCTAACTCTGCACCTCCAAAATTTCATTCTAAATTATGACTCAACTATAAATATTGTTGTTAATCTTGCTATAAGTGTTCTTATTGTGACCAAGTGGCTTGTGGTCCACTGGTATTGGATTGCTCCCCTAAGTGGGAGGTAAAAGGTTTGAACCTCACTTGAGGCAAGTAGTGTGTATATGTAGGGTACCCCCCTTCCTTATAATAATAATAAAAAAAAAATGTTCTTATTGTGTAATTTTTTTTTTATTAAGGTGTCACAACTTAATTATGTGAGTTGATTGTTAATTATTTACTATATTATATATGATAACAAACAATAATACAATTAAATTTATTTCTAAACAAGTTAATGAACATGCTGAAGTCGTGACTTATTTTGTTTTATTTTATATTTATTTGCTATTATGTTTGCATTGTGGTGATATACTTGTGTAATTATGTACAAGTTTTATATTAGGTACATTTCTTATATTATTTAGATATACTAAAGTTTTTAAAAAGTCTTAACATATAGGCTTTAATAGCTCAAGGGAGGACTTACTTTGAAGCATTTTTAATGACCTAAATATTAAACAGGCTTTTAAAAAAGCTTCAGGTCAGGTCATGCTAATTGCAGGCTCAGGCTTGAGCCTAACAAAAAGCCTAAATACAGGCTCAGGCTCGGGCCTAGGACTTAGATTTTCGTAACAGGCCCAAGCCTAATTGTTCAAAGCTCGGCTCGGCTCGGTCCATTTCCACCCCTAGTCTAGACTCTAGAGGAATCCATTGATATAATATAATGAAGTCGAGAAATCTTGGTTAAAAAAAAAAAAAAAAAAAAAAAAAAAAAAAAAAAAAAAAACAAGGTTGATAGCTTCATAGACTTGTGAAATATAATCTAAAAATATTTAAAAGTAACCAAGTGACTTGTAATTCATTGGTAGCCACTTGTTTTCCTAAGTAGAAGGTGAAAGGTTCTAACCTCACATGATATAAATAGTGTGTATATATGGTATCCCCTTCCTAAAGATATTTGAAAGTATTTTGTGAAGTGGCATTAAGTCACCCACTAGTATCGCTTTGTTCCCATGAAGGCCATACCCACCCACCCCCATTGAGTGGGCTTTATAAACGTTGAAATATAATAGTTGTATCTAACTCTAATATATACAATAATGTACACAACCCTACCACCCAAAGAGAAACTTGATTGATCATATTATTGCTTCCCAACTATGCAAGATATATTACGGTTACACTTAAATTCATTTGAATTACTTTCTCATCTAAGTTTCCATGTTTAATTAGTATTTATTGATCAAATTAATTTTTTTTTTTAAATATATGTACAAAATTTCTTGTTAATAGTCAAAAACGTAATTGCCCGCATAGGCAGCTTTGGGAGCAACCTTTCAAAATGAGAGGAGTGATCAGTAACATTAGACATCAACAGAGGTCTTTGGAAAATTTGGAGGACAATGATTATTAAAAAGTTCAAACCAATTTTTGGGGGTTTTTTAAAAAATATTTTATTATTATTTTCAAAATTATTATTATTTTTTGAGTACTACTTACTCTATTACAATGTATTATCTGTTTATAACTACTTTCTCCGGCCTACTGAAGCACAAAGAGTTAATATCGCCCCCACTGAAGATTAAACCCATGCCACTAAACCATAAGGTATTAAAATTAAACTAAATATTATTTTAAAAAATTACATTGTGCTATAACTAATTTAAATTAAGTTTTGTTGATTGAATCAAATACGGAGTACATAAAACGGAACAAGAATATATTTGTATATATATGATTTTTTTTAGGGAAATATATAATTTATAGGGAAAAAAATGGACTACTTATATAACCATTTAAAGGAAGGTGGATTTATATATTTTAGTACTGCATTATCCAGAGTATAAAGTCCCATTTATCCCGTGGGTAATGATTAAAGAATATTCTTAAATCTTTAGATTGAAGCAATTATATAACCATTAATTAATTAATTAATTAATTAATCAATTAATTAATTTTTTAATATGTGGCATTGAATTGCTCTGCCATGTTCTGATACATTAAGAAATTTAAAAGATGATCAGTGTGGATAGATCCTGCTCAATTATTATTCCATGTGAATGAATAGCTTCAGAATGCCAAAAAAATAAAAATAAAATTAAATAAATAGAAAAAAAATTAAAATTTGATATTTTTAATTTATAATATTTTGATATTTATATTTTAGTGATATCACTTAAGCAGCTCTTAGCTTCACTTTCGGCTGTTAGGTCAAAATGCAATTTTTAAGTAAAATGTCAATTCCAACTTTATTTCTAGAAATGATTGTCTATATGATCTAGAATGTTCCTTCACCCCACCCCCATCCATTTTATATGGCAAAAATAAAAAATAAAAAATAAAAAATAAAAAGATAGATTATATTAATTTAAGATTAAAGTTATTGAACTTCTTGGTAGGTCTCAAGTAATTTACTTATTTACAAGAGATGAAATCTTATCCCAGCCTATTTTAAACAGATTAAACTAGACATAATTTTGTAAAGAATAGAAAAAAAATTCGAGAAAAAGAGTTCCAACACATATTGATTATTAATTTTAAGAAATGACCCGTTTATTATTACTTTTTCCTCTTTTAACTAATCAGTACAAGTCGTGTGATTAAAAAAAAAATATTTTTCAGATGTATAAATAACATCTTCCAAAAAGTAATAGAAACAGATTTACAAGAATAAGCCTAACAAATTAATAACTTGGATTACTTTAACTCATCAACATGCAAACAAATAAATAAATAATAATAATAATAATAATAATAATAATAATAATTTATGGTTTTGTCGGGACCAGGTCCACCATAAACCAGGTATAAAGAAAAGTCCGAGGTACAGGTCCAAATACAAAAATTAAGGCTCGAAGAATGAGCTATAATTAATTATTAATTATGCTACTGACAAGAGTTAAACTCAAGTGTAATTATTAATTATGCTACTGACAAGAGTTAAACTCAGGTGGATGGGTTGAGAGTATAGACCAGAGACCACTAAGTCAGGGTGCCTATAGTGCTC